CTCAGAATAGTGCAAGTTGTTAAAGAAACATAAAACTTTAATTCTCAACAACGATGAAAGGACCAGTTACTGCGACAAAGCCCTACTCCCAGCGAAACCCACCCAAAACAAAACCCACTTACCACGAAAGCCACTTAACGTGAAGCTACTAGTAAAATAGCAAAAATATTACTACGCGCACTGAATCTAAAACGTAATTTGCTGTGCCACTATTTCTCAGTGCAACGGGACATAATTTTGTCAACATATTTGCACTTATGTATCAACTGAAAATCAGGGTTCAATACATTTATCTGAAATTTGAGGTTGGTCTTTTTATGTCGAATACATCATTCTGCTGTATCTCTAGAATGGACAAGTCCCGTTTATGTTAAGTGTTAGACTTGCTTGCAGTCTGTTGCCATTCCAATGAAAAATTCGTGAAAAATTAATTTAAATTGCGTAAACGAGGGGTGAACGCTAAAGTCATGTGACCCGAAATCCCAACAGACTTGCCATCAGTGTAAGCGCCCTCACATTATCGGCGAGATTCGTGCTTGTAATGATTGACATCTCTAATATGTTTCAACCGATCAGAAGACAGGCTAATTAACATATCAAGACCGCACACAATACAGATAAATTGTTGGGTTCAGGAGGAAACGATAGATGTTTTTTACTCAATTTGGCACGGCTCTAGAAGCCGTTCGCTGAACTGTGCGTCAGATCACGTGACCCGGCTGGGCGTGATTGCGCGTAGAGGCGGGAACCAGAAGCCGTACCTACACACGAATTGGTGACGTCACAAAATACATGACCTTCAATCGGGGTCGTTTCCTCGGTATATACGAATTGGTATATACAAATTACAATAAAGACACTTAAGACATTACACATAAGGTAAAACAAATCACGTGACAATATAATGATAATAACGGTAATAAATCCTAGCTTAAAGGGGCACCTTCCAGTTAAGCCTAATCCCACAACAAATTTACTTTCTGGATGAAAATAACAATGGATAACAAAAGATAGATTAACATTGTAAACAATATAAACAATAGTGTCCCGTGATTTTTTGGTGCAATCCATGGTATTGAGCGGTTGAACAGAACGATCATATAGTCAGTCGGGTCACGCACCAATACAAACGACATGGGTTCAAATCACACTAGATACACACTCACCAGAACCGAAGCAATCAGAAACCAGTAATCGTTTTGGCTTTCCCGTTCAACTCACCGGAACACTGGAGTAGTTAGAAAAATGAACACCACCCAACGACCAACGTCGTGGCGTGGTACACAAGCGTGCCATCAAAATAAAACAAAATTAGCTTGAAAAGACAGTGGGTTCGAGTCCCGCTCAGAGTTTCCGTAAAAACGTAAATCAAACAAGTCATTGTCAATGACACGTCCCCGTTCCGTTCATATTTGAGTGACATATACATTCAAAGCAGATCATGACCGAAATGCACCTGCATATGTACAACACATTGTGCTAAATCTGAACAAAATCCATCCATGCATGACTGAGATCCGGTTCTGGAATTGTGAAAATACGTGATTTTGATGCATTTTCGGCCTTAAAATGGCCATCATTCCGCTATTGTTAAGCAGATCATGAAACAAATGCACATATCTATTTGTGACATGATGTACCATGTGTGTGTGAAGTTTGAACTTGATCATCCAGACATGTCTTGGATACGGATCCAG